AGCATAAACTCACAATTTCCCAGGAAATGGGGGACAAAGACAGCCTGGCTTGTGGGGGGAAAAAAATCCCAAATGAATCAAGGCAATTATGAGTGAGAAGATATCTGATAAGATTGCAGCAGTAGCAACATGTGCTCCTCTGCTGGACATCAGAATGAGAATGAGCACCTTCAGTTGTGGTGAATTACCTGCTCACTGCTCCAGATCTGACACTCCCTTTGGTTTCAGTGAGAGAAGAGCTTCCTCTCCACAGACTAGAAAAATAAAAAAACATTAAAAACAAAGCAAAACCCGGACCAACACATGCTTGTTTTCCTGCCAGGAGGTGATTCTTCCAGACTGTGCTTCATAGCACTTCTTGGGTTTGCCCCTTAAATATCTACTTCTGGCATTGCCTTTTAGATACACAGATGTGAATGAAGAGGGATTTTAACTGAAATCAGATAATGATCTTACTTGACTTTATTCCTTTCTGCATTCTCAAAAGCAAAGCACAGATTTAGGTCAGCAGAAGTATTCACTAATTTGGGTGCTTTTACTATTGGGGATTTTTTGCTTGCTAAGACACTACCTCTGCAAGCATTTTTCTTTTACAATAAACGGAAATAAAAATCAAGGTTGGTTTCAGGCTTTTATAAATGAAACAGTCTATTTATGATGACACTGCAATTAACTTTTCTCTCAGTATTATCAATTAAAGTATATGTTTGGCTCTCTTTCTGTAGTTCTGGCTTTACTTTTCTGTTGATCCATCCATCTGCTTCTGTAGTTCATCTCAAAAGATACTGTCTACTGAATATATTATATTATTTTGCTTTTATTTTATTTTTAGTTATTAAAAATACTTACAGTATATTCTGAGGGGCTTAATCTTGTTAAAAATCTGGCTTCAGAGGGCCCTAAGGTACATTAAGAGAAGCAAAAAGAGCACCCAAACTTTTCATATCTCTCACCTTGTTGATGTCCAGTGAAGGAAAACTGCGTCAGATAGGAGGGTACTTTTGATGTTAGGTGTAGTGAAGACTACCTTATCAGCTTCTTCCTTCCCTGGCATCTCCAGTCCTCTGTCTCAGTGCTGGGCACATCTGAGGTCAGCAGGTGTTGCACACAAAGTTGCTGGGAGGGCTGGTGAAGGAAAAAATCTTCCATCTTTGTCCAGACCAGAACAGCCAAGTACAAGCAGCTTCAGTGCTTGCTTGCTCTGTATGATCTCCTACCAATCTACTTCAGAAATTATAGAAGAGGACTTGATTTAGGCATGAGAATTTACATTTTAATACCTGGCTGGGCAGCTCATCTGAAACTGCCAGCAGGGATAGATCCACATGGATGCAGTTGATGCCTTTCCTGTGGGAGCTGTTATCTGAGGAGGTCTGTTTCTCATGCCATGAGCAGGGACAGGGATTGAATCTATGGACCAGAGGCAGGTGAGTTGTTATCTTGTGACCCTCAATTCATTCTGTTGACCTGGCAGGAATGAGGAGTATTGAATTACATAAAAAGCACAGCTATCAACAATACAAGGAATGATAAGGCAAAAGCAATGCAATTTGAGAAGAGAGCACTGTATAAATGTAAAAAGCCTTTTAAAGTACTCCTGCACAAGGTTATCCAGGCAGTGTACACTGCATTTGTAAGTTACTGTGTATTTAAAAAATTAATGAAAGATATAATTATAGCAGCATTTCCAATGATAATTGCTAAAATGACTCCATCATGAAACTGTAAGCATTTTAGGATTTATTTCCATGTTTCTAATAGTTTTCTGCAAATTAATGACATCCAGCCCTGGCAATAAAAGCCTTGCCTTGTTTCTCCAAGGAAAGAATTGGGAAGCATTTTCTGTTTTCTTAACAAGATTTCATTGTAAGCTATGCATAGAGCCAGTTAAGAAGATGCTGTCCTATCAGCTAAGATTTTATGTGGAGCTGTAACTGCTTACTCAGAGGGATAGAACAAAATCTATGCAGTCTAAAGCCAGTAAATTACCATTCTATGTCTTAGATTGGAGAACCTTTGTTAAATTGAGCTTAGTCAGAAAACTGACTCCATCTAAATACCATCTGGGCTCTTGTATTTATTGTTTCTCAAGGACTTCCACATCAGACTGCTTATATGGAAAAATCAAAATATACCTTTTCTGTTGGCTTCTCAAAGCTGGACCTTGAAAACCCAGCTCTCTTGTTTTCTATGCTTGCAACAAGCAATTAATAGCCTTCAGTTAGACCACAGTAGGCAAAGTTATTGAGGCAAAATTTATAGTGCCTCATTTCCTTTCTCCCTGTATTATCTTGATAGTTTAGCTATGTTTATTTAAAAAAATCCACCTCCCTTATTTAGTGACCAAAGTAAATGGGAAATGAAGGCACATGGGAATCAGATAAGTTGAATGAGATGCTATCTTCAAAGTGATGTGAGGACTTACCAGTTGAGTAGGGAAAAATAAGGCCCCACCAATCTCTTTTTGCATCTCCTTCCTTGGAACTTGTTTCTTTGCACTTGATATAGAAACTAATATGTAGGAACTGGAACATTTAGTGCCAAGCACTTGTTGATAGCTGGACACTGTAAGTTTTAAAATGTAGCTCTTTGCTGTCTGCCCAAGCCTCTATTGGACCTCAAAACAGATATGGTGGAAGAGGTCATGTGCATGCACCTCGGCCACTATGGAAAAACATCCAGCTATGTCATCATAAAACTGAGAAAGTGGAGCTCAGCTGCAACACCTGCCTTTGTTCAGTTGGGGTTTGTGCCCTGTTATTGTTTATTTATCTTTCTTAAAATTTCACAATGAAGACTTTCATCACTTTCCAAGGAAAGCTGCTTGACAGAACCTTGGAACCCCACAGATCCCATAGTACTGTCCTCCATTCCTTGTATTTGTTTATAGGAAGTGACAGAAGTTTCAAATGCACCACAAAGTCATCTTGAGCTGTCACACCACCTTGATGGCGTTGGCCAGCGAAGCCATGCTCTGGGTTGGCATTGGTGAGAAGTGCTCACAGGGTGCAGGGGCTTGGTGGATTCTCTGCTGCTTTTGTCTCAGAAGTCTCTTCCACGGTGATTGATTAGCCTTAAGGAGTTTTTATTAGGAAGGGGAGGGTGGAGTAGGAATCAGCTGACCCAGAACCATCCCTGCAGCACAGAGGAAAACCTCTCTCTGTTAACACTCCTCTAATTACATTTACTGTAGTATTGTTTCAATCTAAATTGTAGCAATTACACACAAAGGTCTTCTTTGAAATATTTAATTGAAGAGTATCTGATGTTCTGTGCTTTTGGAGTGCTAATATGTTGCCTTCCTTTCAGAAAACCTTGGGTTTTTACATTAGTAATTATGGAAGAATTTCCATGTCAGAAGGAATTGTTTAAAAGCTTGTTAAAATAGATTTAAAAATCAAGTAATTCTGGTGATTTTTGTAAACCACAAAGAAACCTTTGCTCTCCTGATGGACAGTTAGCTAAGAGACAATCTGAGGAGCAAGATCTTCCTTTTAGAAGCATTGATTTGCAAAGTGTTGGATTTGTCCAGCCCTGTCCTCTTCTGGGTTTATGCCAATGTTTCTCTTTAGTCATATTCTCTCTTCCTTTTTTCTATGTTTTTCCATGTGATAAGCACCAAATCCTATACTGGAGTAAACCTGCTGGACTCAATGATTTCTGCCTGCTGCATTGCTGTTTTGCAGGGACTGATATTTCAGTCATGCAGCACAACCAAGGCTGTATGTGCTGAAAGCAGTTGTAATGTAACAGCTGATGGGACGTACCCAGTGCCAAGGAAAAGTGGGGAGGAGAACTGCAGTTAGAATTCCTACTGAGTACAGTTTCGGAGGATTTCTGCATTCCCCCACCGTGCTCCTTCCCATTCCTCCCTTCTCCCTGCTGCTCCCAGTGCTCTGGCACCCCATACTGCTTTGGTTTCTGTGGGTTTATCTTGGTCCAGGGTGTGCCTCCTGTGCTGAGGAACAGCAATTGCAGCTTCTCCTGCAGCGTGGCCTGAATGCTGTGGTGTTTTCTATCACTGATACCCTGCAATTAGGACTACATTAAGAATGGTTCTGGACAGCCAGCAACAATCTGCCCAACTAATCCATTCTATCAGACAAGTCCTTCCCCACTTGCTCACTCCTAACCTGAGCCACTTGTTCATGACAGCACACAGGTTCTTTCTGTATCATACCCTTCCCACTTGTCAGCTCAGTGGAGCTTCTCTGTGGGGCAGAACTTGGATAGAGACACGTGTCCACAGCAAGCCCACCACTTCATACTCTCAGATATTGGCCACCCACCACTGTCTCCCTGATCCCCATGAGCTGAGACAGGTCTCCAGGGGAGAACATGATTGATTCCTGGGTGGTTGTTGTTTCATGGAGAACAGCACAATGCAGAGCAATTTTGGCCCAGACTATAGAGGAGTGAGGAGAGAGCAAAGCCAACAATTCTGAATGACTACAGTGTAAACCAAGATTAATAAATAATGGCAGCACACTGGAGACACAGCAGGATCTGAATTACAGTCAGTGTGGGGAAGTCTTGTCTTCTGCTTCTCTTTTGATTTCACAGGAAAATTTGTAAATCTTGCCTTTCTCACTCTTTCTTTGTTAGTCTGGAACAATTAGAACAACAAAATTTTAATCTTGTAAGTGGCCTGGGTAGAAATCTAGATTAATGAAAGACCTGGAATAATAAAGTAACATTTACTGTCCTCTAGACATCACAATAAGGGTGATTAGACTTGGATTCAATTTTGCTGGATTCTAGGGTTAGGGGAAGACCTTCCAACACAGGCTGTGTATGAGGTGTCAGGAAAAAGCTAAACACTCCTGGGATGTTTTAAGAACTGGAAAATATTATTCATGACCAAATACCATTTTCTGGCATTAAGCTCCAAGACTCTGTATCAGTTTCTGCAGCTGAGATTCATGAGATGTTATTTGCTGAATGGAAGTATGAGTCTGGCTGACTCCAGCTCTTTCTTTTCCTTTGTTTCCCATGCTCAGAGTTTTTGGGCACTTCAGTCTCCGTTCTGAGTGGCAGCTGGTCAAGGTGGACTACAAGTCTCTCTTCAGCCACAGGTGTACCAAGGATGACTACCAAACCTGGCATCTGCACAATCAGGTATCCACACTCGCCAGGGGTCCTTGCTGGGGATTCCTTTTCCCTTGCTCTGAGTTACCAGGTGGGAATGCAGTTGTTCTTTACAGCGAAGCATATGGCTTTTCTTTGCATCCCTTGACGAATGTGAATGAAAAAACATGGGGCCAGGCATCAATGGGCAAGTTCAGGATTACATTTTATTTTATGAAAATAATCATTGCACCAGCTGGATATTTTTGGCCTTAATGCTTAGGGCAGTGTAAAACTACACCTTATGATTGAATTGTAGATGACACTGAATTCTTTGTAGCTCTGTCACTGACTCATGCAAATAGTATTGTTTCAGTTTGCCTCTTATTTCCTTTGATCAAAAATGAAAAATAAAAACATTTATTCATCCTGCAGGTCCTGCAGGTATCTGTAAAACTCTTGAATATCTGTAAAACCCTTGAATCTGAAAAGTTATTGAATAAAAGACACCAGAGAAAACCACATTATTTCATTCTACTCAAGGATATATGCTTTGTTTTTCATACACTGGCTTATTTTCATGCTGGATATATTTAGGTCCTGAAGCAACTGTAACTGAGAGGTCAATAACCTCTGCAGATTACTTATGGGTTACTGGTTTACCAGTATGATGTCCCACACCCTGCGGGGTAACATAACTAGAGCCAGAACCATTGGCACTAGTGACATTGCTGAATGAAATCAATGAATGAGAAATGAACATTAATTTGGCAAGGGTAAGATAATTGAAGTCGTAGAACTGAATAAATTAAAATCACTTAAATGAAAGAAAAGGGAAGACATATGTATAACCATGCAGCAATCTTGGAAATCACTGTTCATAGGGAATAGAAGTACTTCAATTAGGTATTGTCTTTTGTCTAACTTCTATGCAGACAAATTACTTCTGCAAAATAGAAATTTCTGTTTATAGCAACTCTCCTAGATATCAAATGTTTGTTTTAGATTAGCTACTCCCAGTAGTGTTCTTGGAAACCTTTGCATTCAAAAAGCCCAGTGAAACACACATTAAAATTGTCTATAACGAAGCCAGCTCTGTCGCAGAAAGAGCAAGGGAGTTGAGGGAGTTGAGCTCTGTGTTCCACACCTGGGCTTTGTCCCCTGCCCTGAGATTTAGTCCTGGTCTTGCTTCTGCAGTAGACTTTATCTGACATATGGGAGAAGCCCTGGTGTACACCCACCTTGTCTCTTCAGGATGATTCGTAGCACTAGATATTGGTGGATGCCTTCTGAAAGGTGACATAAGTGGGTGTGATGGCTTGGGCATCCAGGCATTTTGGGCACATTGCCGTTGGCATCCCAGCTCAACGCTGGGCACACTATGCTCATGAGTCCTCCTAAGGAGACTTGAGTTTGCAAAGCCACGGAAGAGCAGGACTGTAACTCCACACTCTCCCAGTGATAAATGCTCATTTTCATTGTCTTTTGTGTCCTTTGAAAAAGTGCTCCATTTAAGACCCAGCTGCCACTACAACTGTGTTTCTCCTCTCGTTTCTTGGCCAACGAAGGGGGAGCCTTGTGTCATGGGGGAGAGGAAGATCTATAAAAAACGCAAACCTGGAGCCCAGTGTTCCCTAAGTCGGGACTATTCCCAAACTGTGGTGTCTGAACCATGTGTCTGTGGCCAAGGAGACTTTGAGTGGTGAGTATGTGACTCTGGGAACTTGTGCAGCAGCTGTATTTTTGTCCTGAAATACTACCTAGACAGAAAACCTTGCAGAAGAAGTGGGTTTCATGCAGCTTTGTAGCTGTGATTATACTGTATAGCAGAACTGCAGCCCCCAAACCTGCTGAGTGAGGGAGTCTTCCCCTTCATCTGCAGGAAATATTTGTTCATCTCCATAATAAATCCAAGCCTGGGATTCAAAAGCAAAATAATTGCAAGTACTGATGGACATTTTATGTCTGTCATTCCAGAATAGTGACAGCCAAGACTTCTCTGGTGCAAAATATATTCCTTTCAGAAGAGGGAGGGTATTTTTCTCCCAAGGTCATTGACTTCCTAGGGGGCAAGTCAGCAAAACATGCACATTTTTATCATTATTCCTTTGAATAGCTGGGAACAGTTTATTGCTTCTTAACAGTGTTTTATTGAGAAATTTCTGAAAGGGTTTCAGTGACATGACTGTACAGCCCACCCTCGACGGATATAACTACTTGTTTTGCATAAATATTGGTGTTTCTAACTTGATGGGACCATAATTTTCAAATTGCATTAAGGTCACTTTGAAAGCAGCTTAAAAATAAAGCAGGGGGAAAATGAGACACTGCTTGCTATTGCTTGACAGTCAGAGATAGGAAATGGGAGAATGCATGTCAAGATCTCAGCCCAAGGAATTCCTACATGGCACCTGTAATAGGAAATATTTCTAAGATTTCAGACTGTCAATATCTGTGACGTTTGAGCTTAAATGATCAGAATGTCATTTAAATGGAATTCCAAATACCCTGAGTGCTGATCAGCTAGGAAAACATTTTAATCTTTATAGTAGGTTATTCAGGATCAGTGTCTGACTCGGTGTTATTCCTGAACATTTCCCTACCTTCAAACACTTTCTGAAGAGGTGTGAGGCATGAGATCTGTAGATTTATCTGGACTTAGGCTCACAGTTCTCTTTTAGAGCATAGGCATAGTGAAATGCAGCAAAATTAAGAAAAAATATCAACCAGAGTATTTTCTTGGAGATTATAGTATCTTGTCCTTAAGAGAGAGTCGGGGATATAGAACAGAGATTTTCATCTGATCTGGATGGATATTTAATTTGTTCCTAATGTCAAGATTACATCTGGGACTCCTTATCTTGACTCATGAGATCTTTCGCTTTTGTTCTCATGATGGGAACTTGCAGGATGTTCTTTCCTTGCAGTATCTGCCCTTGGCATTGGCACAGGCCTCTGGGGTGAATCCAGCACCAATCTCCAGAGATGCTTATGAATTTGTTTTGTTTTGGTTTGGTTTTTTTTCCTTACACTGCTTTCCTCACCTGCTTTATATTTTCACAGTGATGTTTGTCTTTTCCAAGCTGTAAGTGGAAAACTGTGGTAGCTGAATTAGCCTTAAATGCTGCCTTGAAAAGGGTCTGCGTCAGAATGCACCTTTTCAATCACTTGACAGGTTCCTTGCATGCATTCAGTATCATTTTTCCTTAACTTTCCCCCTAATATGAGAGGGTATTGCTATTAAACTTGTCAGTCCTGCAGAGGAAATGCAATTAGAGGACAACAAGCTGGCTTTTGTTTCAGACCCTGCACTGCCAATGGAATTGTTAACTGGCTTCTAGCTGCAAAAATTAAAGCTGGTGATGAAGAATCAGTAGAAACTTTATGTTGAATTTTAATGCTACTCAGCAGGGATGACTGGAATAATGTGTGAGACAATCCATTTGAGGAAAACACTGGCAGTGCTGGAAGTGGGGCACTGAGCTTGATAGTTTTAAAAGTGATTTTTTAGAGAGGAAAGGTGGACTTGTGTTCGGATTTGTGACTGCTAAAGGATGAGACACTTGCTTAGTCAGTGTGAGACACAGGTTATTCCAGAATATATTCTAGATTCATCTGCCTTCCTTGGGATGTCAGTATGAGAAGGGGAGATGCTGACAAGTGTCTTTTCTCTGCTCACTAAAAGGTGGACAGGACAGGTGAAAGGAAGCTCCTACTTTCACTTGATGCTCTTTCAACTTGTTCCTTTTCAAGGAAAAATGTCCTCTCAGCCTTTTCTGCCTGGGCTCACAGTTGCCAGTTCTTGAAAGCACTGACTGCTCTGTCCCTTGTGTTGAAGTGAGCAGGTCCTGTGGGTGCCAGGGAAAGGGGGATGCCAGCAGCCAGGACTGTGTGGGTACCGTGACCAGCAAGTCCTGCCAGATGGGCCCTCTGCTTCCTCAGTAAGCAGGTTTGGAGCTGGTTCTGGGATTGGAGCACCCTGTGCCACTTGCTGTGGTGGCACCTGTCTTTGAGAGCTGTGGGGACAGGACAAATAACCACAGGAGCCCTCCAGCACACGCTGGGAGGGTTGTGCTCCCTCCCACTTCCTCACAGTGCCCTTGCCCCTGTTCCCTGCAGTTCGGTATAAGGCTGATCGAAAATTCAGGGGCATAAATCACAATTATGCCCCAGTTCAACAAATCTTTATGAGTCAGGATCTGGGGTAGCTCCTGCCAACCCTTGCAGTCATTTCCAGAAGTAAATCCTGGCCTTTCTCTAACAGGGAGAATGGCAGAAGGATCTCGTAAGTGGTATTAAAGTGCTCGCTGAGCTTTCTTTTCCCTCCTCCTGCTTCTTTATTTACTCTGTCAAGATAGCTTTCCTGAGAAAGACAGCACAGCAGCTGGACTTGATTATTTCCTTAACTTATGCAAACCCTGGGGCTTATGAGAGGGAAGGTGGGCAGCATGTGAGGTTTTAATATACATTTACCAGAAGTTAATGAACAAGCACAGAACCTTGAGGGCACACAGCAATGTTGTCTTTAATTTTATTAAATATTTATGCAGCTCTTTTCTTCTTTGGGGCAAAGTACAGCTCCTCCTGAATATTTTTAATTACAAAGTCCCTGCCAGGCATTTTCGGCTGTGCAGGTCGGACCCACTGAGAATGATTAAATTGAATGTTGAGAGAAAGAGCATTAGGGAATCTCCAAACCATTTAAAGTAGCTCACAGAATTTTTGCCCTCCAAAAACAGAATGGTAGCAGTCTGGGCCACTGGGGACATAGCACAATTTTGTCTCACCAAAGCTCTTTCTGTTGGCAGCTCAGGCTCTGAATAGGGGAAGGATAAAACTCAGAGTGTCCTAAAGGGCACAGAATGTTTTCAAGACAGTGGCTTCTGTAGAGTCTGTGTTTTTACAGAGGTTTAGCATTTTGGCATTTGTTAAGTTGCTGCAGGCAAAAATCCAGAATCTCTTTATTTGTCCTTTGAATCCAGTCTGTCAGTAAAGGCTACACATAGAAACCTGATCCAGACCTGATTAAAACTTATGGAAAGCTTTGGATTAATCCTATTGCTTCATCATTGTATTGGCACACAAAGGCAGCTGTAAAAAGAAATTTTGGATGTGATTGTGTACACTACCACTCTTAGGTGGTCCAAAGAAGAATCAATACCCTGGATTGCCTTCCCTGTGTGACACAATACCATGTAATCCTTAGACCACTAAGCTGGTTGTGTTTTAGTTTAGTGTTGGAAAAACATCAGCTGTTTTTTTCTCTTGGGCAAGTCACAGCTTAGCCAGGGAGCACATTAACATATATAAATATACATACTGTGGCTAGTTGCTTAGGAAGTGCTCCTAGTGTTTTATATTCCTAGCCACTGTTGTGAAAAAATTACTTTAGATCTTAGAATTAGCCTAGTTTATTCTAAAAGCAAAGGCTGCAAAAAACAAACAAACCAAAAGAAACAAAAAAATGAAATATAAGTTAGAGATTAATAGGAAAAGAAATGAACGATACAATATTCTTTCTGAATCTCTGTCACGTTTTGTTGCCAAATGAAGCACAAATCCTCCAGTGCTCTGCAAATTTGGTAGTTCTGCTGTTGTGGAGATCAAATGCCTTCAGTGAATTGTGTTCCTGCCTCTGAAACTAGTTCAGCACTTTGTCTCTGGATGTGCCCAATCCATGATGTTGTGCCATCCCAGCAGAGAACCACCAATATACACTTGCTTTGGGGACATCCCCTAAAACTCTGAGCTGACTCTAGTGGAGGATACAGTGATGGATTCATGACTTCTCTCCACAGTGACTATGGATATGAGAGGCACAGCAACAACCAGTGCATTCCAGCCTTCTGGTTCAGCCCGTCCTCCCTGTCCAAGGATTGCAACGTTGGTCAGAACTACTGGAACAGCACTGGGTAAGTGCATCTTGCAATCTGTCAGGTTTTGGTGACTTCAGTAGACAAGAAAACCTGGATAGATTTTTTCCTCTGCATCACATTATGCTCTTTTTTAGTCTTATCCATGAGGTGAAGTTTGCAACAGCATCTGTATGGAAAATTGCCTTGTTCCTCAGAGAGAGGGAGAAGCACGTTAACATAAGTGACACATAGATATTGCATTGCCATCAAGTGATGTGTGATCCCTGGAGCCTAGGCTTGGAGCTCCCCTTTGTTGCAAAATTAAAACACAAATCAAAAGGTCTGCCTGAGAGACAGCTGAACATTTAAAAGGAAAGGTTTGAGGTATTTCACATTGTATTTTATTGAACCTATTACTATCTTACAGCTCCTATTTATATCAGCTTCTAGGAAGACTCAAATGAGCAATTTTTAGTCTCTTTTATGTTTTCTTCCTCTGCCATTTTCACTTTGTACCTACAATGCCTTGCATTTCAGACAGGCTTCATGTGCTGATTTCTCCTGGTCTAACCCAGAACAGATGGCAAGTGTTGCTTTATTATGGCACCATCACTTTGCAAATGTTCTACTATCATGCAGGAAATGCTGTGAGACTTGAGTTTCACTGGCTGGTGCAAAATTGCTCTGTTCCTTCTACAACAGGGCAAATCCTGCAAATTTTGGGGATGATTCTGGGACATGTGTCCTGACTGCTCAATGGTTATGGTAGGAACCAGCTCTGTTCCTGGCTGGTTGGTGCAGGTGGCTGATGAAGCGTGGCTGCTGGGAGTCTGGAGGCATTTGACCTCAGAGACCCCCTTTCAGCTGAAAAATTGCTTTGAATATGGGATGTAATTACAGAACCCTGGCCAGTATGACTGCTTGTAGCCTTCTTGACAGAGTGCAACAAGAAAATAGTTGGGGCTGGAATGAAATTAATAGAAAGGCTTCCCCCGCTTTAAAGCCCCAGGAATAGCCAAGTGTCTTGCTGTTTAGCCAACAACTTCCAACAAGAGCCAAGAGGAAAACCCCATACCTCAAATCATTTTAAAACTGAATTGGGCAAAGCCCTTGACATATTTTTTCAAGGGCCCTCTAGCCCTATAGAGGCAGACAAAACCCTAATAAATGGTATAAGCAAAAAGCTGGGATGCAGGATGCAATCCTGTAGGCATTGGGTTGGAGTAATTCTCTGCCTTTTAGTAAGGCAGAGTAATTCACCTCCACAATGTGTCTCTTCTCAGGGATGCTGCTGAGAATCTCTGGAGAAGGTTGAATTGTGATTGGTTTGTCTTTCTCCTACTTAATAAAGTGTTAGGTTTCTTTGAGTCTTCCTTTCAGTGAGGGGATTGCGCAGGCAGTTAGCCTTTGAAAACACATGTATTAATGTGGAGGAACAAAATAAAAACCAAACAAAGGAACTTTTCCGCCCACTCCCTGAGCCCAGTGTCCTTTGTTACTGTTCCCCAGGTACCGCAGGATTGTGTCCAACAACTGCACAGATGGCTTGAGAGAGAAGTACATGGCCAAGATGGAGAAATGCCCTGGAAAAGCACCTCGGGGATTGCACATCCTCACCTCCAATGGGAAGCTGGTCATGGAGCAGGGGCACAACGCCACCTTCATCATCCTCATGGAAGAGGTGTGTTAGTGGTCTCAGTAAACCTTTCTCTGTGTGGCAGCACTGGCATTCTTTTCCTTTGCTTTTCAGGTTGCTGAGAGGAAAATAGCAATCAAGGGGGAATCATAGTCCTGAGATTTATGAGACTTAAGGAATTTAAGCGAATTGGAGGCTATAGTGGCACATACAAGCAGGTCATATTGGGTCACACCAAAGGTGTTTGGTTATCTTGTCTATCAGTTATGATGTTAATGCTGAATAAAAATAGATGTTGTCAAAAAATTTATTTCCCCACTCACTTCTTGCTGCTTCCAGTAAACTGCAGTTTATGGAGTTTATGAGGTAGAAGTGGTGTTTCTGTGATCAACAATTCTGAATCTGAGATGCAAAGCTTTAACTTCAGTTTTTCTGGGAAAGGTTAAGAAAAGTGGGGAACATGTTCGCACTCAAGGGGAGCAATGAAGGACATTGCTATTTTGCAGCAAAATTGAGTCTCCTCAAAGGACCTCTAGCCTCCAGCCCTTATCTATTTTATTTATCTATTGGTACAGTCCCCTCTGTAGCCAACAGTAGCATAAGTGACACCAGGCCAAGCTGCTGCCAAAAGCATCAAAATGTTGAGGCTCTTCTGGCCAGAGACTGAGGTGGTGCTGGAGAAGAACAGCTGGTTTTTGTCACATTTTCTGTCCTGTGTATGTTATTTTGGAGCAGTACCTGGAGACAGCTGAGGCAGACCACCCACAGACAGACACATTCAATTCTAAATTAAATCCTTATATAGTAGCTAAGTGTTTCACTGGGACCACACTAATCTGACAGGGCCTCTTTACTACTTCCTCAGAGGTTCATGCATGCTCTGCTTTTATACAAGGGGGATTTCTTGTCTACTCACTGCTTCTTTTCTGTTTTGCAGACTTGACATGGTAAGACAATTTGTGTAGAAGCTTTTAGTGGGAGTTCAGAAAAGAACAGATATAATCTAAAAATTAAGAATCAACTAGTAATTTATTAAGGAACTCAAGCGTAACTGCTGTGTACGAAGAATGATAAACAGATGGAGAATAAGGCAGCAGTCAAGGTAGCTGAAGAGTGAAATCTCTGCAAGGATTTAGGGATTGAAGAGGCAGCTGAATAAATGTGTGAGGGCGTTCACTCTTATGTCTGTTGTTGAAAAATAATGGTAGTTAGAAAAACATTTCATTGAAACAGCCTTTTTTTTTTCTAAGGGAAGAGGATCTTTGGAACACATCTCTGTAGGTGAACAGCTTATTCCACAGAAAGTTGTGTGTTGAGTTTGTTTCTTAAAATAATACAATTTCAAGAAGAAAAGAAAAGGAACACTGAGATTTTGGACAAGGGCATTCCTGTCTTTTAGTGTGAACCTGAGAAGAATTGTGGCCAAAGATTTCCTTATGACTTTGAAGAAATCATTTCTGTAGAGGTCTTAATTACTACTTGCCTTGCTGCCATACAGATTCATTCCTGGCTTCCTCCACCTTCTCTGGTCAGTCTGTTTACTGGTGGTAGTTTTGTACCAAAGTTCACACTCCTTCCTGAGCCTAAGAGCAGCCTGACCAGCCCTCCTATGGATATATCTGTGCAGTGTCCATTCACCTGTGTCAGACTTGCCCTGATGAGCCAGCAGCTCTTTCCTGCTTCTAGTGCACACCCTCAATATATGGAGGTGACTGACCTTTGGGCTTTCAGTGGTAAATGAAGACTTCATCACAGTTAATCAAAACCTAAATTTCTCAGGATTTATATTATTAAATTTAGTAGGATTTTTCACAGTGGCATTCAGAATACATGTGTGACAATGACTGGCAAATAAATGCAGAATGACTGATGGTTTTTCTGAGTTTTCAGGAATATGGGGCTGGACTGTGATTTGGACTGTATATATGCAAGGGAACATGAAGAGATAGACTTTTTTCATTTTTGGACTTCTTTATTTTAATCTGAGTTTGGTTTTGATCACAAAGAAATACTAGACTGCCAAATAGCTGTTTTCGAGTTGTTTACTTGACCATGTCTGTTCACTGATTTTCATACTCAGAGCCAATATTTGTGACAGCCCATACCTTGTTTCCTTTCAGTTATTTATGGGGCTTAAAGCAACAAAACATGCCTCTTGAATAAATGGATAGCAATGATTTATTTTTTCCTTTTGAAATGCTTCCCTTCTATTTTCATTTATATTTATAAACTTCAGAATATCTTTGTGTGGGACTAGCTTGCGATGGGCAGCCTTTGCATCAAAGATCCAGCTCATAATTGGGTGAGAAGATCATCTACCACTGTTTAGTAAAAAAAAAATCTCTTCCTGTTTCTCTGTGTGAAACCGTCCCATTTCAGAGAGAATCATATTGGAGAGGCAAGAAGGAAATAGAAAAGAGAATTGTGAGGCAAGGGAGATGAGCTGCCATGATTGGTGCAAGAGATTTCAGCCTGAGGTCATCAGTGATGAATCCAGCCCAGATCAAATTTTTATCCTGTGTTCAGTGTCTTCCATATAAGATGGACTTGGGGGTCTTAGTGCATTCCCTTGAGAAGTGGCTTTGAAAGGTTTAACAAGCTGTGGGAGTCTTTCTATCAAATAACTGAATATCTCAGGAGTGTAATTTTGCTCCAGCTAGAGACTTTTTTCGAGTGAATTTAAAAACTCTCTGTCTAAAGGATGTTATTGTCTACTCAGTATAATAGGTATGTTTTAGTGTCACTACCACTTTAGTCCTTTCTGATTGCTCTTTGGTTTATACCGAAGATTTAATGTCCAAGTAGGGCAGAGGTGAAAATGGTGCCCTGATCAAGTCAATAGCCAAAACTCCCCTGGCTCCCATGGACTGGGAATGATGGAGCAACAAAGAAGAGTGGTCTAACATATATAATCAAATACCCATATTTCAAAAACTACATGCAATAATCCTGACTACATGATGGTCTGAAGACCCCAAGTATATAATCAAAGCTGGAAAATACCCTTCCTGCACTCTGCTTTCTTCATGCAGATAAGGTCTATGAGGAGGATAAACTCTGTGGGGGCTGCTAAGGTCCTGATTTTCTACACAGGGGAGCTGCTTCATTGTGATCTGGCTTCTTGTCTGTTCTCCCACTGCATTTACAGCTATAATGGGGTTTATGAGATGACTGTAAAATATTTCTGAATTTACCATTAAAAAAGGGTAAATTTAAGAGCAGAGATTTTAAATTTTCCTTTTAAACTTTCAGATAACATCCTCAATATATCTAGGGATTGACTTCAGTTTGGGGCAAGGGATATCTCCAAAGTGTAGTGATATCTTCTTCACCCCCAGTGAATACACTGCAGATCTTTCATGAAAGGAAATTACTTGGCACAACACATTTTCTATATATGCAGAAAGCTAAAGCTACAGAGATTTAATCTGAGTTGTAGTTTTATTTTAGTTTAGTGAAATCACTGCAGTGGGCTTTAGCTTTGTTGAAATTAGCCTTTTTCTGTGTTACATTAGTCAGCTGGGGGCAAGTATAAAATAAGGCTCCGAGAAACCAAAATAACAGACACTTCTACAGTTCAACTACAGTGATTTAAAGCATGATTTAAACTGAAATAGTGCAACTTCTGTCTCCAGACAATACCTGTGGTGCTAGAATTTCTTGTCTGTTTTTCCCTCCTTCATTTAATACCTGTCATTGACAGTAATCCTAGAAGAGATTTTCTCATCATCTGCTTCATTCTCCTGTGTATCCAGGCCCTGTCTCTGTGTTGACTGACATTAGACAAAGAAAATCTGTCAGTCCTCAATGTGGGACCCAACCTGTATAAATTCAGCCATCCTAAAGCGCATGTCTAGCTGAAACTGGTTTTCTAAACTCTGTATAATCAGGGTTGGATATTTGCAAGAGATGGTTTATGTCACCTGTTTCAGCTAAGTTAGGATGAGGTGTTGGTCTTTTGCTGTCTGTGTCTGGCCACCTTGGGGAATGGCAGCACAAAGCCTAGCTTTTTTTGAAAAGTTACTACTTTCTGTCCATGCTAATGAAATGGAACTAAGTGGGATGGAGGGTAATATATATTTATAAATATAAATATCAGTCCAGTTTCCTACTCCAACCTTCTCTGTTGCAGGGTGATCTCCAAAGGACAAACATCCAGCTTGATTTTGGAGATGGCATTGCAGTGTCCTATGCCAATTTCAGCCCTGTGGAGGATGGCATCCGGCACGTGTATAAGAGTGCTGGAATCTTCCAGGTGACGGCGTATGCAGAGAACAGCCTGGGCTCAGACACTGCTGTCCTGTTCCTGCATGTGGTCTGTGAGTATTTCCACCTGCCAGGTTCCTTGGGCCAAAATCAGACCTCACTTAAAGTCCCTGCAGCTTCAGTGGGGCCCAGGAATACACGCAAGCCCACATACCCGTGCAGCTCATGCTCTTCCAAAGGCCTGGGCTTCTAGGCACTCCTCTAACTTGTTAAACAGACTTTATTGAATGAAGGGAAAGGGTTTTTTAAACACAAGTATATCTCAGCAGTTCTCAGACTTCCAGAGAAAAGTTTGAAAATGTCTCTTGGGCTTCCTGAAAGGGTCAGAGACCAATCAGCATATGAAACAAAGTCCAAATGTGTATTTTCAGTACATGTCTCATTCCAATTAGATTAGAGGATTAGATTAAACTACTAAATTTTGAGTCACTTATTCAGAATTACAGCATTTACAGTGCTAATTTAATGAAATAGAAGCATTATGCTGAGCGTGCTTCCTGAGATATGAATGTACTGAGGGCTAATGTGCTGCTTTTCACATTTCGCGTGTCTGGCGTGCATCCCTGATGGTTCTGTCCTGTTTGGTAGATCAATGCAATTTCTCTCCAGCTGACACATGAGCAAACTCAAATACAGAGCTCTGAGTTAACTTCCCAAGGCCACAGGAGAGAGCAGAGAGTGTGTAATGCAGGATGAGACCAAAAAGAGCCCAGTTCTTTGATCTACTCTTAGCCTATTAGATCTTCGGTGTTCAGATGCATCCCATCAATTTTGCCCCTAATAGTGATCACAGCCTTCCCTCTTTACCTGTCAGAATGTCTTACATCCTGCCTTTTGCTTGAGCTTTTCTGCTGAAAGGAAGCACATTAGAAATTTCCAAAACTCAAGAACTTTTCCTCCATTTTAATTTCCAGCTCCCTGTATGCAGGAATAAATGTTCCTTGAAGCTTTTATTATGCTCATAATTCCCTCAAAGTCAATCATGGCTGCACTTAACAACCTGTTATTAGAGCATTAACTGTTTTTTCCTTCACCTTGGGCCATTAGCTGACAAAAGTGATGGTTACCTGGTAATAACAAGCAGATTTGTATGGATTATCTGATTTTTCTCAAAGGAACTACTTTTTCATGGTGAAAATTTTACAGCACAATGCAACAAGGGTCAGTTCTTTGGCCTGGTTTTGCTGCTCCATCTTTTTTTACCTCAACCTTCCAGGTCTCTCCTTTGACTTTTATAGCATTCTTAGGTGGAGAATTTATTATCATTATCTCTAGGGAAATATTTTGCAAGCACATTCATGCTAATGCTGAAATAAGATGACACCTCAGTACTAAACTTTTAATATATTTGGAAGTACTGGTCAATATAGGAGGTTTGACCTTGAAGTTCAAATGTACAGGCAAATATGCCTGAGAATCATTCTTACTGTACAGTCACTCTGGTACTTGGATCCTGTACTAAAAAACAAAAGAGACAAAAAGGCTCCTTGGCCTCAAGCAATATTAATTTTCTACCCTGCAGCTTTGTTAGCAGCCAGTTAATTTTTCAGGTTTCTGGAATCTGCTGACAAGCTGCTTAACTTGATATTTAAAGAAAGCAAAGATATTAGTGTTTTTCCTCTTATATGTACTGTCACAAAACATTTAGGTTCTTGCTGTTCTTGCAAACCCAGAGTACTTCTGTGGTCAGAGTTCAGGAGTGACTTGCTGGTATAAACCTCTTGGGGAAAAGGGGAAAAAAACCCCCAAGTTTTAAGGTGTCAAAAGCAAGAATAGGGTCCTTTTGTGCTTGGAGCTCTATGTTCCAGTGGTAGAGGAACAGCTCTTGCTTTCCACAATCTTTGTAATCCAAGTAGATGGAGAACTGATTAATGTCCCCATTTCATGCTGAGAGGTAACACAAGAGGATTGTTTCTGTTAAAATCACCAAATTTCCTGCTTCCCAGAATGAATGTGTTACCAAAAAAAAAAAAAAAAAAAAAAAAAAAAATTCTGACTCTTCTCGTTTTGTCCTTCCCATCTCACAGAGATAGTCTGTCAGTTTGCTGTGTTTTAAATGTACTACTCAGAAAGTAACACTGTCTGATGGGCAGCAGTTATCAGCTGAAATTCAGCTAAACCAAAGATAAACAAGAAGAAAAACAATGGAAATAGTAGAAGCTTTAAACAAACTACCAAACAAAACCTCAGTATTTTTTGCACCTTTTTTTTTTTTCCCTAGAGAGGATCTGCCTTCTGAATTCAGGGTTTCATGCCCTGGATTTATTCTGGGCATTTGCATTTATTACATACAACTTTGCACTGGTACTTTGTTATTTTTTAAGTCTTTCAGAATCAAGTGCTTCTGACAGTAACATGCTTTGTTATGCCAATGAACACATCCTTCAAGTGGTTCCTGATGTTTTGCTAGGGGCAACTGACTCCCCAAAGACTTCCTGAGGTCAGGCCCAAGTCAAAAACATACCAAGGATTTCCAAAATCATGAGTCTTTATTTTGGAGACCTTTTAAAAAATTGTTTGGGGTATTTAATCAAGTCATAAATGACTCTTATATAACCAGATTTAAGCCATCTTGGCTAAAATTATTTTCTCACAAATCTTAGTAGCTCAGTGGCAATATTTTCAAGGAAAAAACCCTTCTTTCTCACTAGTGTCCTATCCTTATGGCTTTCAATAGCAACTTCACTATATAATGCAGAGAGAGTTCATTGTTTTTCTTTAAAATGCATTTAAAAATTCCTCTCAATGCATTGCTGTCCCTGTCTGAAAATTAGCACTATGGAAAATGTGCATAATGGGGGGAAGAAAGTATTTTCAAATCTGATAATCTTTTTCTGTTCTTCATTGATTGCTGAAATTCTCTTTTATTTCTAAAATATAAATAGACTGTCACTAGACTGTCACTGCTGACATAGGACTTTGATTTATTTAAAGGAAAGATCCTTGCTGTTCACAACTGTGCAGGGAGGATTTAACTCAAAGCCTTTAATAATGAATTCTCTTCCCACAGGTCCAGTGGAGCACGTCCATCTGAGTGTCCCCTTTGTTGCCATCAGAAACAAGGATGTCAACATTACTGCAGTGGTTTGGCCCAGCCAGGCAGGCACACTTACCTACTTCTGGTGGTTTGGCAACAGCACCAAGGTACAGACAGCCTTTGGTTCATTTTTCCTTCCTAAGCTTCTCACAACAGTCAAGGAACTCTCTCAGCCGTAATAAAAACTTCTTGCCTTTGCCTGTTTTGTGTTTTAGATTTTAACTTGGCTGAAGAGGGTTGTCATTATCTGAACTTCAGCCTTTGTGAATTTATTTCCTTCTGACTTGTGTTGTTCTTAAGAACCATTACTTCCTTCATCTGGTTGTTATCAGCCCTACTGAGATTTGAAGACCACTGTTATTACCAGTGTTCACTTGCAACTTAACTGAACTATATGTGGAATAATGCTGGCTTTCAACACAGTGTTTAAAAGCTGCTGGTGTTCAAATAACCGAGGGGGTTTCCATTATGTGCCAGTGTGCAGTACATAATGCTGGATTCCAACACGGTACTTTAAAGCTCTTGGTGTTCAGATAAACAGCTGTATCTAGAATTTCAAGCTGAAGAGTCTGGCTATGTTAGAGAGGGGGATGAGACTTCTTTGTAGTGAATTTTCAAATGATGTGTATTGTAACTGTATGTATTATAAAGAGCTTTTTTAGCAATAGTTAAAATAAGTGAAAATACAAGTTGTCATCATGCTTTCAAATGAAGAGAGCAGGATTGCCTATTAGCTACAGTTTTTACTGTAGACTTTAGGAATGAGACAGGCATTGTTATCCATTCTTACAGTTGTGAAATGTACAGCTGTTAATTTCACAATGTAGTTTCTGCTGTTACTTACAAAAGCAGCTTAAGTCATGTCACTTTTCTACATTTGCAGTTGAAGGTGTGCTCTGAGGTGAGATTGCAGCAGAAAGAAATGGGGATTTTACATGAAATATGGAACTTGAGATAAAAAATAGGCACACAAGTATTTTGTTTTCCCTTTGAAAAGCTGCTTAGTTTTAACCTCTTACCCTAGCTACCAACAACATCAGTAGAGGTGAAATAAAAACAGTAAGTGCTTCTTCTACTGGGATTTTACATCCAATTAGGAAGCTCACTGTAAGAACTTGCTGATTTTTTTGGAAGCATAGTTGAGGCAGTGGAAGAACTTGGGAGCAAAAGCCATTTAGTGTAACTTGGCAAGTAGCTGTGCTGTTGCTGAACTATGGCAATCACCCACATATGCACATCCAGTCCATTGCAAGTACCAGGTAATTCCACATAGTTTATACTGTAGTGAAATACAGGGATGCAAATTAATGTTACAGTTCAGATATTTTTGGCTCAGTGCTCACACGTGGAGAGCCATTGAAGTGCATCAGAGATAATTTAGGTAACTTGATCGTCTGCTTAAGTCCTCCAGTGTAGAGTTTTCCTGCCATTGTTTTTGTCCTTACTGTAGAGGTTGATTGTGAAGAGGACCTTGAAAAAGATTTTTTGAAATAGAAAGCAATCTAGAAAAGGTAGTGCAAAGCAGTGGTGTTTGCTGAAGATTTCCATGCAGTTCTCACAGTGCTTGCTTCTGGGTTGGACGTATGATCTGTTTTATCTTCTAGCTAAAATTTCAGACACATAGGCAGCAGAACGCAAGCAGATGTGCATGTGTTTGGGGTGAGTACTTTGGGTGTAGCTGCACATGGAGTAGCTGATCCTTTGACACCTTGGCATGACTGTACTCATTGCTGAAATATGGAAGAGTAAACGTGGTGCCACTTAGCTGTGTCTGAATCTCAGACCCAGAGCACTCTTCGGTCTTTGCGAAGCTTATCTCCAACTACTTCATGGAATGCTCTGTAACTCTGACAGAAGTATGGCAAGGGATACAGACATAACTGTAACAGCCACCTTTTTTCAGAACAGCTGTCTGTATCACATCAAAATTCCTCCTGGGATGTTTAACGTGTATGTCAGATTCTTCACTGAGCCCACTCATGGTGTTCTGAGTAGAGGTGAAAGATAGGGACACTAAATTAAAGGATGAGGTGTGTAATATTGTGACTGGTATTATTAGATGATATGTTTTAGTTCCATGCTGAGGGATTGCAACTTCTTTTCCTGTTCAGCCTGTAGCCATCTGAGGCAGAACCAGATGTGTCTGATGTCACTGTGCAGTTTCACTCTCTGTGCTGCTGCACAGGAGAATATTGTCTTAGATACAAATGACCTGGCTGAGACTCCTCTACTGCTCTCCCCACCCTGCTGAAACTCCTGTACTGAATTTCTACTGTACTGATTTTTGCAGTATGCCCAAAGGCCAATTTGCTTGGATTAACACAGGTCCAGTTTAATAGATGTATCCAGCTGTCTAATAGGTTTGAGCAAATGAACCTTAAACTACTTGATTTAATTTAGAGTTAGTTTCCAGGTCCTGGTTCTTGAATTAAAATTAAGGAGTTGGCTGAATGTTAAAATTCCATGATGGAGGTGAAATCATCCATGATAATGGAATGTCCAGCATACACATATACAAAAAGAAAAACTTGTAATTTCAAAGGCCAGACTGCATCCTCTTATCTGCTTTTGCACAGAACCACAACCTGTAACCTCCAGGAGGATTGCTGATATCACTGAAGTTTGACAGAGGCCCATTCAGCTTCTCCAGGGTCTGTGTGTATCTCAGTAAATGTTAGCTGGGCCTCCAGGGCTGGCACGAGCTGGTGCCCTTGCACTGTGTGTGCCATGTGATAAGACTCTTTGTTTTTTACTGCTTTTTCAGCTCAGGGATGAGGGGGTCAAAGGAAGGTGGTGTTCTAGAGAGAGAGAAATGTGTTTGCCAGTCTGTCCTGTGCAGGTGGAAATTTTGATTTGGCTGTGAAAATGGCATTTGTGACCACTGTTGTGCAGTCAGGCTGGCAGCATGATGAGATAAACTGTTAGAGCTGGAAGGTGAAAATTTGGAAGTTTTCCTCTGAAAACCAACTGGCAGTGTAGTGAAGGGACAACAGCAAGGGTACAATGGCTTTATCTGTTCTCTTAGACTTCTGTGTGCTTTCGCAATGAAGATTAGTATCACTACTTCCATTTTTGTAGTTTCTCTAAACAAAGAGTTATTTCTGTAGACCAGCTGTCAGATCAGTGGCACTGTGGAGGCTGGACCTTTGATTTTCAGTTGTGGTGGGTTGACCCTCTTTAGACACCAGCTGCCTACTAAAGGCAGTCTATCACTCCCCTCCTCACATTGGCAGGATACATAAAATATAACAAAATCAGGCCACAGTAATGACAGAGAGGTACCACCAATTACTTTTAAAAACAGAACAGCCTTGACTTTATGATATTAGTGTAATTTATTTTCAATCACATCAGAGTAGTATAATGAGAAATAAACCCAAATCTTAAGACATCGTCCCACATCTCTCCTTTCTCCACAGGCTCAATTTCACTCCTGAATTCTCTTTCTCCTCCTTTGCCCGCAGTGCAGGGAGACAGGGAATGGGGGCTGTGATCAGTTAATCTCATGTTGTCTCTTCCAATGCTTCCTCCTCAGGGGGAAGACACTTCCCACTCTTCCCCTGCTTATGGGAGGGGGTCCCTCCCATGGGAGACACTTTTCCATTGATTTCTTCAATGTGGGCCATTCCCATGGGCTGCTCCAGCGTGGATCCCTTCCACAGCCACATGCAGTCAGCACTGTCAGCAGGAATTATGCCATGCTTTCAGCCTGGTTAGCATAGCTTGCCAGCTTGTGGCTGCAGCTTGCTCACAGACTCACAGCATGGACAGGGCAATGCTGGATGTCCTCCCTCTGACCTGAGCAGTGTTGCTCTGTGAGAGATAAATGGATTTGTGCTCATAAAAGCAAAGGCTGGCCCTGATTCTGAACAATATGGATTGTTTGAAGAAGCATCTGCATCTTTGGTTTATTTTCAATTTGAGGTTGGGTTTTGTACAACAAATAAAGCAGCAGAGCTGGCTGTGTGTGTACAGCCCTGCATTCTACTGCACTAATTCTGCAGTTGCTGGCTATGATCTGCTGAGGAGTCCATACAACAATAGGTTGCAGTTCAGTGGAAGAATATTTCAGGAAACATTTACTGAGAGAAACCTCTGTGGGTGGGACACTGCTCACAGGAGAATATTGTCTTAGACACAAATGACCTGGCTGAGACTCCTCAGTGTTTGGGCCTTAGCAGGACAAGCAAACTGGCAGCACCACACCTGTATCAAGGTCACCACACCTGTATCAAGGAGCAAGGCCGTTGTTGTCTGGTGGATAAATCAGAGCATGTTGTGATCCTAAGTTAATCTCACCCTGATTTTGTCATTTGTGTTTGCCTCCTACAGCCCCTCATCACCTTGGAGAGCAGCATCTCGTACATGTTCACTGTGGAGGGGATGAACACTGTCACCGTGCAGGTTGCTGGGGGCAACACCCTCATCCAGGACACCAAGGAGGTCGCAGTGCATGGTACCCTCAGCCTTTTGCTGTCACATCTCGGGGGGGTGAAGGGCAGACAGTCACTGCTGATCCAGAATGAACTCTAGGAACTTGATAATGCCTGGAGGAACCTCTAAAGACAAACCTCTGATGACAGAGTAGCTCAGATGTGTCATGATGGCAAAATATAGAAGTGAACAGAATGAGGCAGCTAATGAAAATTATAATCTCAGCATTAATAAGGTGGCTGGTGTCTCCTGTGTCTGTTGATCTTTCTGTGCACCCAGAGAGGGAACTCCCAGAAATAAAAAAGGCTTGAACCAGTCTGCCTTCCTTCATCTTCCCAGCTGTGGAAAGAAATAGTCACAGTGCATGTTTAAGGTGGTCTGAATGCAACTGGTGTCTCTATCAGCGACTGTACGAATGACAGGGTCAGGAGGGGTCTGGAAAAGAGGACAGAAATTACTCTATTGTTGGTATCACTGCCCATCTTTCATGTCACAGCTGGAGGTCTGAGTGTGCCCACTGGACTTGCCCATGAATAATGGTTTTGGTATGTTCTTGCCATAGCTGCATGTCATGGGCTTCAAAAAGCACCCTTTGGCAAACAACAGAGCTTGTCCTGTTTGGGGCTTGATAAATCTTGGGTGAAAGGGCTCTCTCAGCAGCTTTGACCAGGACTTCTAGAATAATTTCTGCTCTGGGCCAGTCTTTATTTTTCTTATCCAGTTTTTGGCATTCAGCATTTGAGAACAAGCTTTTCTTTGGACTTCAAGTTTTATTGAGAAGACTGGGTTTCAAATAACTTGGGCTACTTTGAAGCCCAGCACTGTGTGTGTCTTATTTCAGTAATTAAAAACACATTGATGTCCCACTGTATACTCAGATTTAACAACATATATAGCTATATAGGTATTTATTGATTGTCTGACCATGAAATGCAATAGTGTTTAATAATTTGTTAATGTGATTTAGTAATAACTGGACTTGCTATTATCAAATATTAGGAACCTTCTACTTCATAATTTTGAGCACTGTAAAATGCAGTGTTTACTTCTTGGAAATTTCCATGCTTTCACTGTTTTCTGGGATAAACCTGAATCAAATATGTTTGAGTGATACCCACAGGTGATCTTGATCTTTAGCCCCAGTAGGTCCCACAGAGAGCTCCTCACTCTGTTTTTAAACACCTTGGAAGAAATTTTGCCATTCTGTTTAGAAGAGCCAAAGTTTTGGGTTCTATCACAAAGAGAAATCAACCTATTTGGATCCAATCCAAATAGTTCTATCCAGTGCTGTGCTGCAGACTGACCTGGTCTAGGACAGGAGTCCTTCCAGCCCCTCAGTCTGGTGATGAGTTCAAGTCTGAGTACATAAACAAGTGATGCCTTTAGTAAACATGTCTTCTGATAAACTTGTATCCTAATCTGTGTCCTGAGCCAGGTGATTATGGGTCTAGGCATGGATTTCTGATGTTATCAGTGGAGGAGATGTAATCAGGTATATTCTTAATTTGAGATTAACAGAAAAGAATTTGCTCAAAAAATAAATTGGACACGGTACTAAGGGGTCAAAAGTCAAAGACTTTATATATCTGACTCTGGGTGAAACCTTCAGAACCTGAGAGACTTTCCTTGTGCTCTTTGATACTTGTTTTATTTAAAAAATATATTGCACCATCTAAAAAGAAATAACAGTTCTTACAAAAGATGCCATATAAATGGTATGCTGGCACATCCCTGCTTTTCTGTAGATTTCCTCATTTATACTCTGGCAGGTTTATCTTGATCTAAAACTAGTGCCTTCTAACAAATGATTAATGGTACTTATTTGAAGTGTCTGGAGTTGCTTCAAGGTGAAGCACAGAGCATCTCCAAAATCAGAAAGGAGAATCTTTTACACTGAGAACTTTCATAAGAGTGTGGTTCCCATCCTGAATCTTTGCCTCCCACTGGCCCAAATCCATTGTGCACAGCTGCCATAAGGACTCCAGACTTGGTCTTTGGTCAGATAAACAGGGAGAGCTGGAATTGGAGAAAAATTAAAATAGTTCTGTATTTTAAGTCTAGGAAGCCTTTCTTCCTCCCAGAAATCATTCAGTCAGGACAGAACTTCCAAGTGTTTTGTCAATAGCCATTCCTTGATGAGCCAGTCATTAGCACCACTGGGTTCTGGTTTGCTGGGGAATTAACCATTCCTGGTTTCCCTCCAGGAGGATAAACAAAAAACATAAGTTACAGCAATTGTTTGCTCTGCAATTGTACAGACAGGCCTGCCAAATTTCAGCAAGGTGCTGCCTTATTTCCTGGTCAACCTTCTTTTGAGCAAAATCTGAAGTTGAGTGGCAAAATTACAAAGCCCAAAGGCATCAGGAAGGCATCTTCTCACCTCTCTCATTCTTGGTTCTGTTTCTCTGGGGAAAGCCAGAAATTTCCAATAGGTCAAAAGGTTCTTTATAGGTACCATTATAAGCATTCTTTCCTTGCAAGCTCTCTGTCCTGCTTAGTGTTAGCCAGCCTTTTTCTTCCTTCATTCTTTTCTCACTCACTTGCTGAAGATAGTTATGGTCCTACTGTTGTCTTCTGCACCCTTGTCTGTACCCTAAACAATGTGTCAATTGCACATTTGATCTTCTCATAAATTCTTTTTCTATTCCAGAGTATTTCCAATCTCAGCTCCTGTCATTTTCTCCCAACTTGGACTACCATAACCCTGACATCCCTGAATGGAGACAAGATGTTGGCAAAGTCATCAAGAGAGCACTGGCACAGGTGAGCATCTGTTTCCTTGTCTATATTAACATTGACTAGGCTGTTAAAACATGGACTTTTTTGACATGCTAGTTTAAAAGAATGGGTAAGTACAGCAGTGATGACACTGTCATTAAAAATCAATAAAAAGCTTCTTAATATGCTGGATCTTTTTACAAAGCCAATCTGCATTGCTGATTTTGTGGAAATATTACAATTACTTTTATTAATATTTCTGTGTGCTTTTCAGATTTTAATATCCCTGAGGATTTTGCAAATTCTAGATTGTAATACTATCATCATTATCCTTATTTTTCCAAGTTGATATGACAGTATGTACTATTTTCTAGTCCAAATATTTGGCTAGTGTTAGTGTGTGTTGTTAAACAGCTGATCCACTTCATCCCAGAATACAGACATTGTAGTATTCTGAATGCACGAGGAAGATATTTTTATCTCTTCCTGATAATCAGGAGTTTCACATGCAGCTAAGTGTAGCAACTGGTGAACATTTTGAAGCTCTACTCCCTTTCCAACTGGGGCAAAAAATGAGGATTCAGAAGGAGAGTAAACTTACCTTTAAAATACAGTATAAAGAGAAACTTCTGTAGTTGGAAGATACTGAATCTTCCTTTGGGATTAATTAGAATATGTAAACTAGTACTCATATTCTTTCAGGAAAGGGGACAGAATAACTTAGGATATCAAATAGTCAGGGACTTTAGTTTTGTGTGAAATTAGGAGCTAGATTTAGACAAGCTTTTGTGGGTTTGTCATTTTGCCAAAAATGTATCTCGTTGGGTTTTTTTTTGCTTTAGCTACAGCTGTTCTTAGAAATGGAGGCTGATTATTTTAACTGGGAAAGTACATTCCTGCTCAGCTTTCCTCATCTGCAGCCCACTCAAAATTCACAGGTTGTAAGAGTTTCCTTTGTTGTTTTTCCATCCTGAAAAACTGCTAAGTTTATTTTTTGAAACTCTTTTTCCCTTTTACTATAGTAAAAGAGTCAAGCTTGCAAGCCAAAATGAATTAATTAGCTTGTAACTGTGAATAGCTACAGAACAGTAGAAATCTGGTAGAAGTGCTCCCACCAGGAATGGGCTGCCCCATTGGTACATTTCAGTTCTGGAGTGAGGTGGGATGGGACCAGAGGGATAATGGAGCTAAGGAACCTCATGGAGCAGAGCATTTCTGAGGCAGGGGAGGCTTCCTGCCCTGCTGAGCACGCATGGCTTGGGTTTGGGAAGAGAGGGAGGCAGCCTCAGTGGGCAGGTCTTGCTGTGAGAGCCTTGGTTCAGCAAACTGAGCAGCTCCTAGCACAGCCCTCCTGGTCAGCCCCAGCAGTAAAGTCTCCCCCTGGGGACATTGCTATTCATGTATGACCAATGTAACCTGATAGTAGAAGGGGATTGCAGGCACTTTTCTTCATAGTGTCCCTGGTAGTTGCACATTTACCAGTGGTCGCCCTGACACAAACTCTCTGGATCTGACTTTGGTCAGTTATTCTTTGTAGCAAGGAGGACTTACTTGGAACATCCAGACCTGGAGACATGCTAGGTTTGGACTTTGAGCTGAGATCTTTGGGTGCAGGGGTATTGTCAAGTCTACATTCACTTCTAGAAAGGAAGTAGAGTGCATCTTTAGCAGAAGCTCAGTTTCTGACCCACCACATAGGCAGAACACCTACAGTGAAACAAATAACAATTTGATGGGAACACCATTTTTGAAAGTCAATGGAAACATAAGTAACAAAATAGCAGCTACAGACCTCTTTTTACTTTTCTTCTAGGTGACTGGTATTCCTGATGAACAGATCCTGGTGGCTGTGTTCCCTGGGCTGCCTACTTCTGCTGAACTCTTCATACTGCCCCACAAAAACACAACTGAGAGGAGGAAAAGCAGTGAGGCTGATCTGGAGCAAGTAAGGAAAGAAGGATTCATGGAACATTTATTCTTGTCATATTCTTTGCAGATGGGCTCCTGAAGCTGCACAGCGTTGGAAGTACTTACAATAAGTGTGGTGGAAATGGATGCATCTGGGATTGTGGCAGTATAGTTTATGGCATTAAAGAAAATGATTTTCAGAGGAAAACCAGGATTTTCTAATACCTCACTGAGATATGTCACAGTCTACTACTAGCAGAGATTCTTCCTAAATCAGTGGAGTGTCCTTTTTACAGTAGTTATGGCCAAAGGAACCTTGAATATGTACTCCCTCTACTCTCAGGAGGAATGCTAATAAAGGGAGGCCAAAACAGCAAGATAATATACTGAGGTTTACTAAAAATAAATCAGACTCTTCAGCTCATAGATCACCACAACAAGACCTGTGGTTTTTTGTTTTTTTTTTTCTGCAGCAGTGAACGGCCTGTGCAAACTATATTTGGAAGTTACAATATCCATCCATTTAGATAAATAGGTAATTACAGTGATGTATAGCAACAGTGATATGCAGGCAAGGAAAGAACAACAGCACTAGGCTGCTGGAGCTTTCATGTTAGAATTACCAAGTGATTAAATCAGGTCTATAAAAGCAAAGGAGTGAAGTACTGCTGGAAAGGCTGCTTGGCACTAGCTAATATTCTTGTATGCAATATTTTTACAGCATGCAAACTATGTGTGAGCCCATTGCCAAATAACTCTTCTAAGTTTGGATCAAATATTAAATTATTCAGAGGACTGTGAATTCAGTGGAAATTCTTGTCACCCACTGAGTAAAGTCAGTCCCTACAGAGTAGTTCCTTTGTCCTAGGAAGTTATCAAAGCTGGTCTCTTAAATTGATGGTGGTCGGTATGTAGGAAAGATTCACTGAGGTGGGAAGGTTTGAAAGGGTTTTTGGAGGAATGGTCTTGGAGTAATTTCTGAACTGTACAGTAGGATCTACAAGTATTAAAACTCCTTCTGGCCAAGCTGTTGTGTCAATATTTCATGTATCAGTGTTATGCTGACATCTCAATTAGATTTCTGACTAATTGACTATAAGGCCCAAAGCTCTAGTGCTCTAATTTTAGTTGACAGTCTACTCAGTTGTACTTTGGCACTTGTTGTTGCCTTCTGCTTGAGGAGCTCTGCCTGGAGAGTAGGTCATTAGAACTCCTCATTAGCTGAGCCCTGTCCATCAGAACTGCTCTGTGGAGATCAGGCATTAACAAACTGAGGCTCTGGGGTGATGTGCTGAGTATGTGCTCTGGGGCAACCAAATAACACATCAGAGCTGGCTTGCTGATCTCCCAGCTTAGCAATTCCAGTATATCCACTCCAAGGCCCCTTTTCTAAGTGAAGGACACATATGGCAAATTTTCCATTGACCTAAACTGGATTATTTCCTCCCCAACAGCCTATTTAAATAGAAGCTACATGACAGGATCATTGGGAAGAAAGAAATCTAGGTCTGGACTGCCTAATTTAGTTTCATTATCCACCAATGAAAAGCCAATATGTCAGTGATTTACAAACACATTTGATTGAACTCAAAGGATATTATGGAAGGTGGAAAGGTCCTTAGTTATTTTCCCTCTTCCCATAGCCTCCAAAAAAGAACAAAATTGCAAACCTTCTAGGTTTCCTTCCCAGGAGAGATATAATAACATACAATGAGAATCTCATAAGTTCTGTAAGGGAGACTTGCACGCAATGACAGCTCCTCCTAAAGCACATGTGCATTTCTCTCCAATTCCTCAGGCCCTGCTGAAGCCAGTAAGAGATGTCAGTCACTATTAATGGGCTTTTTGTATTCCCAAATGTTCTCCAGACTTTGCAATCTTCTGTAGTTTAACTGTGGTATCTCTTCTTATTTAATCAGGTGGTAGAAATCCTTTTTAATGCTCTCAACCAGAACCTGGTCCAGTTTGAACTGAAGCCTGGAGTTGAAGTGGTTGTGTATGTCACTCAGTTAACATTAGGTGAGTGTGGAGTCAAAGGCACAGCTGTGGTTCTCCTGAGGTTTCAGGCAGCTCCAGGAGAATCAGTCTACATCAGAGCACTCACAGTTTGGCATGTGGCACGGGGCTATGTGACAACTGAGACATTTTGGTAGAAGCAGGAAGTGTTAAAACAAACCCATGAGGGGCATCTTCATGCTCCAGTTTGTACAAGTATAAAAAGTACCTTGTAAGAGTTCCCTGTGGCTTAATTAACAAGTGGATTGGTGTTTTTCAAGTGTTTTAGAAAACCAGGTGAATGGTGTTCTATTAAGTCCTTATTGAGCACCTGTGGAATGCAGTGGGATATTACTAAGTTCCATGGATGTTGGATCAAATCCTTATAGCAAAGGCTTGTTACTATTATGACTAGCTAGGAAGCTTTAAAGGGGCAAAGCAATCAGGAAAAGATTGAGACCTCTTACAGGGAAGATGTGCCTGAATATTGACTTCCAAAAATTAGAACTTAAATTTCAACACTACCTATCTATCTCCATTTTTGTACAAAGTAACAAAGAGTCCACTTTAGCTTTGTCAATCCCTTTAAACCAGTCTAGTGTGAAGGTCTCAGCTATTGATGAAACAGTGATGGTTACAAAGAAGGTGATGGATTTATTTTTGCCCTTACTTTTTATGACTATCCTTGCAATTGTCTGAAATGTGGAATCTTGTGCAAGTGCCCTTGCTGATAGCCTCTCTGAAAGATTGGAATTCATACCCCACAATAATGCACTTCAGCTGCTTCTCAGAGAGCCAAGAGCTGGGCTAAATCATGGCTCATGACCTTTCCTACAGGTAATGCCTTTTTACCTTCACTCTCTGACTGCTCCTTTGGAATGTGAGTCAGATGCTAAATTGATAAATTTGCAAAACTGGAATGTGATACAATGTCTGAGGTCTCCAGGTGGCTGGAATTCTCAAGAATCTGGCTTGGTTCCAGCAATGCCCTGCATTTAAATTATGTTTTGCAGCTATTCTTGCCCCCTCTCCAGTGCAGGTGCTGCATTTGTTTCATGACCATTTCCACAGTGTTTTGACTTGGGTGAAATGACAGTCTTTCCCACAGAAGAGTCAGAAGTATTAGCAGCAGAATATTGGCAGGACCAGACTGTTAGGTGTGGAAATTTGACAGTGAATTCAGAACTGACTCTATTTACATGACTTTGTCCCTATCTTCAGGGTGATGGAAAAAGAATAGAGAATAGTAAAACACCAAAGCCAAATATTTATGCAAAATGAGAAACACTCAGCTGCTACTTATAATCATTTGTGCATCATTAGAGAATTCTCATCAGACACTTGATCTCAGCACAGTCCTCAGGCCATTAAGATGGTGTGCTCTGATGAGCTCTTGGAATAGCTGCATAAACAAGGTATAGGAATATACTGTATTTAGCCAGCCAAAAAGTCGAGGATAGAAATCTCCAAAATATTATAATGTATTGTGTGATTGAATCCAGGATTATTGCTTTGGGCTCCTCCACATTATGAAACTGACTCAATTTAAAAGTCTCTAAGGTCCTGTACAAGGATGGACCTTGAGGCTTGTCACAAGAGTAGATCCCTGTCACATATGAGATAGATGAATATCCTTGGAAGATGGGAGTCGTGCTGTTCATTGATGCTCTAAGGTATCTTCTCTGAAGGGGAATGATATTTATTAAGCCATGCTTCATAAAATTAATTTCCACTCTAGTACCTGGAAAAACCTGAAAAGTAATAGCCCTGAGTGTTAATACAGGAGGGATTGGGCATTCAGCTGAGCATGGCTTGCTGTGCCTTTCCTCTCAGGGATGTTAGGCTGCACTGTCTCAAAAAAGATTGACTTTTGAAGGACAAGAGAACCAATTTGTTTCCTACTGATTGGTCTTGCCAAAACCAGCATGAACCATACAGTAGTGATAAAGCAGATGTGACAAAGACAGAGTTGAGCTCAACTCTTGGTACTTAGTGTGTTTCTGTGTAATATCCCTCAAGTGTAATGCTTTGCCTTTGCCTTTCCTCCTGCAGCACCCCTTGTGGATTCCAGCTCGGGTCACAGCAGTTCAGCGATGCTGATGTTGTTGTCAGTGGTGTTTGTGGGCTTGGCTGTTTTTTTAATCTACAAATTCAAGAGGTAAGTTGAAAAACTTTGGGTTGGGAGGAAGAGACTGTGAGTGGTTTGCAGGAAACCTAGGCAGAGTTGTGTCTGAATTGCAAATGAAGACTGATCTGTGCTGGGCATCCGGCTTCGATGAATGTAGCTCCCTACAGAGGAAACCATCTACTGCTGTTTCACCACAAAGCTGGTGCTCCAAAACTTCAGAAATCACCTTCTGCTTCAGCAGATGTATTTAAACCACAGACCAGAAATAGGAACCTTTGTGCTCACTGAGTACTGAGATACACAAAGCAAGCTTAGTCAAAAACCACACGATGGATGGCTTCACACAGTCTCTACCACCTGCCCAGCTGTCTTAGTGCAGCAGCATCTCATTTGTATCTTGTAAAGTGAATAGGTTAATCTTGCAGAAGAACAGGTGTGTTTATGTTAAAGGTGGGAGACTCAAAGCCAGAAAAATTTGTGTAAAGCACCAAAATGCCTTTGGGAATATGTGCTGAGATTTACCTTGACAGATGTTAATATAAACCTTTTGCTTCCAGACAGCAGGCAGGACCAGGTCTGGCCTGTGGCACTTGGCTGCTGCAAGCTGTGAAAAAAAATATGTGATAAGAATGGCTTGTTTGCTGAAGGTCTGCTTTATGAAGATATATTTTAGTCAGACAGAGCTCCTTAGGAGGAACTTTGCATTCAGTACAGTGCTTAGAGTATAAAATGGTCTGTGTGCCTAGATCTTGACCAGTGGCCAAATATTGTGTTGGAAACATAAGACGAGTCTGAGTTAAAATTAAATAAATAAAACTTTCTGGATATAGTAGTTCCTCTAAATGAAAAACTAGAGCTTTTCCTGTCCAGATTCCAGCTAACTGTTACCTTCTCCAGCTTTTCTGCTTCCCCAAGATAAGGCTAGTATTCTCTAAGGATGTTAGTGGGATACAAACAATATTCAAAATTAAATTATATGATTAGACATCTATCCTAGTCTCCAGGTTTAAAGTTTCCCTCCTTGCTAGCATCTTGCATTAACCGTTGTCCTAGTCAGTGAGTGGCATTCCTTGTGCTTGATCCTGTGCACACTGCTTACTGTTATCAAGCTCCCACTGACTTCAGTGGCCCAGGACAATTTCCAGGGCAAGCATTTGTGTGACTCTGCTCAGATGCAGACTTCAAAGCCTTCAGCACGACCTCCTTGCAGTAGCCTGAAATCCCCTCTCTGTTTCTGTGAGGTGACTGCAGCTTCCCAGGGGAATGGGATTTGTTTAAGGCATTGATTTAACAGTGTGCTGGGGAGACAGATGATGATTCCTCTCACACCCAGATGAAGGATGGCGAAGGCAAAGAAATCTTCCTGGGAGGTGTGACAAGCTGTAGGTACAGCCCTGCATAAGACATGCTTTCCCTTGTGTCTTGGTGGGATGGATTCCTAGGTTTGGGCTGATCCCCTTGGCCCCATGGTCAGCAGTCAGTGGTTACCACTAGCAGTTAAAGAAGGGTCTTTATGTTCCAGAGAATAGTGAGGAGCTCATTAATGCACTTTGCTCTGGCACTTTCTAGGTCATTTTCTGCTACTACAGCTCATAAAACTGACTCTTGTACTACTTAAGCACCCTGAGCTTTGAGTATAGCTGCCATCAGCCTTCTATTATGCTCTAGGGCTATGGAGACCCTGCCTTGTTAAAATCTGTCTGAAAGTTGATTGTATGACAAATTGGGAGTGATGAGGAAGGTGGTCAAAACATCAGTTTTGCTTAGTCCAAAAGCTTATTAACTGGCTGTCCCCTCTTATCTCTCTGTCCCAAAGGGGAAAAACCCAGATCAAATTGACAAAGTTTAGGATAAGTCATATACGCAGTGTTCTCAACTTGATTTTTTTAGAACAGAAAGCAACTTTTCAGCTCTGTCTAAAACCCCTGTCTCAGTGGAGCAGAAGTGAGAGCATTCAATGATTCTCAATGGAAAAAGGGGAGCAAACCCAAAAGCTTTCCTGTGGCTCTGAGTGATGCAGAGGTCCATTAGCCACGTGTACTTCTCTGATTAGTGGTGGTCCCAGCCTGAATACAGAACTTCTGCTTACAGGGAAAGGTTATGGGAGACCATAGGCTGACATGATTTTTTAATTCTACAGATTCATAGATTTGGTGCTTTGCTGGTTTGCACACAGACTCCTTATTACGAGTCCATCAATTTATAGACTCAGCAGGCATGTTAAACACTGCTGCCAGAGAGATGCTTATTGAGGAGGTCCCAGTGGAAATGAAAGGAAGAGGGAAAAAATATGGAAATAATCTGTAAAAAAGTTGTCTCTTTTCTGGAAGACTGAGCATGTATCAGTCAATACTGTGTGTGCATGAGTGCTGAGCAGTGGTGGGGCTGTGGGGAAGTCCATGTGTGTGTCCTGTGTGCTTGAGTGTGCTCAGAATGATGTGGTTGTGGCCACCTGTGTCTGTGCTGGGAGGCACAGCAGGATTAGATGTTTGGGTATGCATTCACCTATGTACAGCCATCTCAGTTTCTTTTTTCCCTAACTCTCTGAAGTGCCTTGGCTCTCTGCCTCCTGATTCTAAACAGCTTTTCTCACTTTTCCACATGAAGTTCGGAGATGATCACTGTTCTGCTGTTGCATTGTTTGGAAGCAGAACTAAGTTTTCCACTATCTCCAGGCATGTTCTCATGTCTCTATACATCTCTATACAAATTCTGGGCACTTAAATCCTATGGGAATGCATTAGGTCTCACTAATTTCCTGTGTAGTTCCTATATCTTCTGGTGGCATTTATGGCATATTTAAACATTAGAAGGTAGGAGAAAGGGAGAAGATAATGAGATTTGCTGTTTGCTGCTAAACATCCCAAATGTGTCCTGGCTTGATGCTGGTTAAGAACAGAATGCTAAATCAGGCCAATAGCACAAGTTGGTTGAGGCCAGAATTTCACTGGAGTAAAATCAGCATAGACCTATTGAATTCATGAGAGCTGAGGCAATTTCCACTGCTTTCAGTCTCTGACATATCCAACAGCAGATATATCAGCATAAAGATATGGCATTTTATATTACTTTTTTTGAACACATCTTTCTCTTTCACTCCTGTGCACTTTAAGGAACTCAAAATATTCTCCAAATTTTCCATATTGGAGCAGTGTCAACTTCCTGCATGGCAGGAAGACTTTCTAAGAGCATTAGGAAAAACAGTCAACTTCCAACAGGCAATGCAGATAATCCTGACAACCCCCATGATGATTAACACATTCCTGTTCAGGTCTCTCATTTAACCTTGCATTCCTCCAGGAATTACTACCTGTCTGTCTAGGCCTGTATAATCTGTCTACCTGACTGACTCTCAAGGATATAATTCTAGCAGGCCAAGGTAATTTTGCTTGGGAGGAGGAAGAAATAATCCATTCACTTCCTTGGCTTCCTGAGCAGCAAGGAAAAATAAGTCCCTGCAAACTTGCATGATCCATAGCATGACAATCTGGTTTTGCACTGGAATGGTAACAAATAGACTTTGGATGGGTGTTATGAGGTCCAAATCCTTTCTGACTCTGAGGCAGGAGCAATTCTTTATAACTCTTTCAGATGTGGCAATTTCTTCTGAGTCAGTGTGGGCCTGTCAGCAGCAACAAGCCCAGCAATTTTTTTGTTCAGTTGATACTAGTGCCAAATTGATTTTTACTTTTTGTTTCCAATGCAATGCTGATCATATAATAAATGCTGAGAGAGTTGACAATTGCAGCTGATTGTACTTAGTTAATTGCTGGTCTCTGAGCTGAGTGCAGTGTCCACTGTGTGCACGATTTCTCATTTAAAAGGGCAGAATGCTGAAGTTTGCAGCTGAGGGACCCTTGGTGCACATGATATGAAAACAATGGCCTGAGATTTGGAGTACCTTTGGCTGTTCCTGGAATTAGTGGATGCTAAAGGCGCTTTCAGAGATGAACATCTATGTGGTACTTTCACCATTCTGAGAGATCATACTTTGCATCACTGCCAGTGCTGCATTTCTGGGATTAGTCTCAGCTTAGTTTGTCTCATTAATAAATGACATGCTGAGGATCCCTGTGTTACAAACCACAACCTCTCATTTTCCTTTCCTGTGCAGGAAAATCCCTTGGATTAACATCTATGCCCAAGTTCAACATGACAAGGAGCAGGAAATGATTGGCTCTGTCAGCCAAAGTGAAAATGCCCCCAAAATCACCCTGAGTGAGTTCACAGATCCTGAGGAGCTGATGGACAAAGAGCTGGACACACGAGTGATGGGTGAGAGACAACCCTCAGCTGAGTTCTGTTCCACGGTCTGGGTGAAGATTTTGGTCTTTTGGGTATTAGGAGAGGCAGTGACTCTGGGTGAAAGCAGAGCCCTGAGGCACTGGGATAGGGACTAAATCTCTCTCAGCAGCAGGACAATGGAGTTTCTCTTACAGCTTTTCAGCTTTTCCCAGGGTAGGAACCTGGCTGCAGCAATAGGTTAAAGAAGTTAGTAATAGCTGTGGCTCAGACCTACTCCTGCTCATGACCCTGCCTCTCTTGTGGAGGAGTGCCAAATTCCCTGCACTCTCAGAAGAATCAGCTGAGCCAGCCTCACACTGTTGGTTTGCTGTGATTACAAGCAAATATGTCCCTAATAGTTTAATGAGTCTACTGCTGGTCAGCTGAGCTGTAGTAATTGAGTTTTCTGCATGGTCCCTGCTTATTGCAAATACACAAAAGAATGTGTTGTGTTTAAGCATCTTTTCTGTCTTTACACTTACACTACCACATCCTAAAGAGTAAGAAGCAATATAGACCAAACTGTTGAAGCCGCTGCACTGATTCTCTTCTCCATTCTCTCCCCCACAGGAAGCATCTCAACAATTGCCAACAGTGAAAGCACAAAGGAAATCCCCAACTGCACTAGTGTTTAATACTGAGAATCCACTTGGTCTACAGCATTTCTGAATTTTTATTTGTAATTATTATTGTTATAATTATTATTATTATTATTATTATTATTATTATGAAAAAAAGAAAGAGTTATATGTCATTATTATCATTTGGGAGGGAATGGGGTGGGCTTTTTGTGTTTATCAGGGCTGCATTCATAAATAGCAGAGGTTCTTCATATTTAGGGAATACACATCAGATTAGAAATAAAAAGCAAAGAATAAGTCAAGCGTGCAAAGAGATTTGAATGCCAGATTCCTGTTACATACAGAATGGGAATTAATATTCAAATCCAATAGATAGGTGTCATACCTTAGGCAAGATGATGTAAGTAAATTGTCCCTTTTCAGCCCTTTTCAGAATAAGTCATGAATCAGCTGCATCATCCAGCCAGAGGGTTCAGACTGGGTTGTTGGACCAGGCTCTGCAACATGCCAACATCCCTCGCTTTCCAATGACATGCATGTCTCAGCTTTTTGCAGGATCTTGCCTCTTTTAATTGCTTTTAATTTCAGTCACCCTCTGGCACTGCTGACTGCTGAGAAAGGGAAAAAACCAAAATCAGAGCAAGCACACACGTCAGTGTTCCTTGGACTCCAGACTGGCTGGAGGGGACAGCACCACAAGCAGTGCAGGACAAGCCTGAGTTTATGAATGCAGCCCGAACCCTGTGCATGTGAATAGCGAGGATGCCGAAGGCGTACTGTAGATAACTACAATGTACATAGCTTTTTATTTCTTGGGAAATAATTTAATGTTTAGTAAAAGAAGATATGTTTAAAAGAAAACCTGAACCACACACACACATGCACGCCCACGTGCACACACACACACACACACACACACATGTACACGCCAGCCAAACAGGGACCCTGGTGGGCATTGAGTCACACTTAGGTTCCAAGCGTGTTCCAGTTGTCTGTCATATTTCAATCTGACACTGCTCTCTATAAAGAGAGTAGTTTATTTCTCTATGTATAACTGCAAGCCTTTTTTTACATATATATATATATATATGGTGTCATTTCCTGTGATGGAGCAGAAAAAGATATTAGTAGGCCAGACTATGAGCCTGTCATGAATATTTTAATGATGTTTATCATCTATTCATCTCTTGTCACTGTTGCCCACTTCTGAGAATGATCTTAGTGGCATCTGTCAGTGAAAATGAGGAGAAGAATCCTGAAATTATCACCATCTCTGTGTGGGTAAATATCAGCAGCCTTGCCATACCCAGCACAACCTCAGCTCAACAGTGGAACAGGTTGCAGTAACTTTATTCCCAGGGGGAAGTCATGCTTTTTGCAGCTCAGCTGATGCAGTGAAGTGCTATTTAGGATGTGTAAGAGTAGTAAATTTTGGCTGAACATGATGTATGTGATTAGGGACTGCTCTTTGGAGAGGGCAGTGGAGGGTCAGACCTGCATTCATGGGCTGTGAAAGGTTCTTTCTTGTGAGTGCTGCAGAATGGCAGCTCCCAATTCAGAGTAGAGATTTCTGCATGGAGGGCTGGTGTTTTCTGATTAGAACAGGGAGGTTAATGAAGAAAAAGTATTGAAAAAGCTCTTTAGAATTTTTTTACTACACTGAACTGAGGATATCCTTATGAAGAGATGGAGTTTTGGAGCAAGAGGTTGACTTAGTGGTGAGTTACTTCTTATCTATTTTTTTTTAGTTGATGATGTCAAAAATGAACCTTATTCTGCAGAATATGGATTTATATGACCCAGCAGGAGGGAAAGGAAGATTTGGGGCATGTCTGGGAAGATGTTCTAGTCTTTGTGTGCTAAAAGGAGGCAGAAATGACAGCAGATTACAAGGTTTGTTATAATTTCTTAGGATCTGAGTACAGGACTTGAATCACCTTTAATATTCCTGGGCTGAAATGAGGAGATGGCTGGAATTTAGGTGTTACTTGCTATCTCTCTGCATTGCAACAGGCCACTGGGCTACAAACCAGCCTCAGCCACATGTGTTCACTCTGTTAGTGGGCTGGAATGTCTTTCAAAGGTTAAAATCCTGATGGCTCTGCAGGTGGAGAGAAAAGTGGTTAAACACAACTTTGCAGAACTCAGGAGGTTATTTCAAGATTAATATTGTAAACCTAAAAAATAAGGAAAAACTCTTTCTTGAGAAGTACTAAAACTAAATATTCTCAGTTCTTTTCAATCAGATTTGTGGATTTTTTTTTCTGTTAATTTAAAAATATTTCTCTGCTGTTTTTCCCCTCACTTTCCTGCTGTGGTTTATAATACAAGGTGAAGAACGATGGCTGTGTTATTCTATTTAACCTTGGTTTCCATCTATCACAAATGCATAAACTGTTCCATTACTGTCTCTGTTCTACTGAAACACCACAGTAGTTTACAGTAATGGCCCAGTCTGGTGATAAGATTGTTAGCACAAGGCCATAGCTTCCCATTTAGGCATAAGTGGGAGGGATGGACATAAACAATGGTCCCATAGGCTTTGAGCTAAATTGTGGGCTGATCTCAGTCTTTGCTGATCATTAGGATTTGAGGTACTGCTGTGGTGAGCTGCTGCAGAGGACTGAATGTAAAATACTCAGTATTTTCTGTATTAACCTTTTCTTTTATAAACCATGGGACAAAGTGATGATTTTAATTGTTGTTTGGAATTTTGTAGGTTTTTCATGGGCTTCATCTCATGTTGTTTTAATAAGAAAGGCAGATGATAACAGTTTTCACTTTTTTTTTCCTTAAATGGGAGAAAGTAAGAAGGAAAAATTTCACTTCTCAAAAAGAAATTTAATCTCAGTGAAGCTGAGAAATTTCTGAATGACACTTTTGCAGAAACATCTGTCTAGAAAGTCATTTTGCATCCAAAATGATCCTAAAGTATCCTGCAAAGCAAACAAGAAAAATCCGTGAAGCCAAAACTGCATGTCAGAAAAACCTGACTGATTCTTATGTTTGCTCAAATTTCCTCTTCTGTGAGACTTGTTGGGTGTCACTGTGTAGTTGCCTCTCAGTGTAGTTTGTCACCTGCTGTCAGGACCAGGGTGTGGGCTCCAGGCACGTCCCCAAGGTGTGCATGGGATCACATTTACCAGGTCATTCCTGCTTCTTTAGGTCACAGTCATGGCTGATGGGGGCTGAAAAAAGCTTGGGGTCATCGCTGAACTCTGCTGCTTTAGAATGCAAGAAGGGTGATTACTGCATTCCTGTCTATCCGTGGCACCTCTGTCAGGTTTGGACTGGGCAGCCAGCCCTCCTCACCATTTTGAAAGCACTGAGCTGCAGTGTTAGCACAGAATGGAGTCTTGGCCACTTTTATTTGTCTTGCTGGGAAATACCAACTTGGGGTCATCATTACGGTTTTTTCCCCTGCAAACTTTACCCCCAAGGGAAATGTAGCAGAAATCCTTGAAGCTGTAGATTATTATTTACCTGAATAACAAGGGAAATAGGCAATGTCATCAATGGAACATAAATAGCTCCCACACTGTAATTATGTAAAAAGAGGAAATGAAAGAGAGGGAGAACAGAGAGCAAGAGACTGGGTCAGTGCCCTCTATCACTGCCAGCCTTTCCCCTAGGATGGATTAGCTGTAATTTAGGAATAATGCATGAGATCTGGAGACTAGATGCAGCTTTTGGTTCTGTGTGGCTGATAGTCTGACATAAACCATGAATAGATCCTTAGTTTAGTTTAACCAGTACTCAAGAACCCAGCAACTAAACCTGGAAGGATCAGAGGTGAGAGCAGAGTGGCAGGGGGCTGCAGAATGTTTCAGACACAGTTGTCATCAATGAGAACATATGTAGGAAGTGTGCATTTTCTTCTGGACTAAACTTTGGTTTCACAAATGTACAAAGATGTCCTGATGTCCTGATCTCCTCCCTTTCCCTTCAATCAGCTCCCACACATATTCCAGGTCTAATGAACCAAACCAGAATCCTCACATTCTTTCTGATGATGTTGGACAGTGCATTAAACCCAAACCACCATCGTGGTTTCAAAGGATTAAATGAGACAGACAATTGCAATACCTGTATTGAACACAGTAATACAACTGCATGAGTCATATATATACATATATATATACTGTTCTTGGTTTTATTGTTCCATTTGAATATTTCTACTGTAAAAAAAGGCAGTGGTTTTGAAATTGTTGAAAATAAATGTATTTTTGTACATCAGAGTTACCCCTGGCTGCTTTTTCAATCCTTTTTCTTTTTAGATTTCATTTTGGCAAAGACTTCTTTATTTTCTGAATTTCCCTTGCTATATCTATCCCTCCAACTCTGTTGTTCAGGGTCATGCATGCACATGGAGTATCAACAGAGAATTGTTCTAAGGCAAGACTTTTAAGATAAAATAGAAAACAACTATCTCTCCTTCCTTCTTAGTGCTCCTCTCCAAAAATAATTATCTTATTACCTTTCTGTTCTACAGGCTGATTCTCTTTGGAGCCTTGGAAGTGAATAGCAGGGGAGAACACTCTGCTTGTACAAGCACAACCCCATAGATTCTATGCTCTCACCTATCTGATTTTGTCTTGTAAGAAACTGTAAAGTGCCAATGTAGGAAAAACCAGGAAAGAAAGAAAAAGTTTCTTCACTCCTTGGTACAAGAGACTGTTGAAAAACAGAAAAGAGAGCACGAAAATATGTCTCTGGATATGTATCAGCCATCTCCACCCATGTAGATGCATGCATACCTCACTCTCCCTCCTTTCCTTTAGGGCTGAGGTCCATAAAGTGCAGTTGTTTCTGCTTTTCCTTCATGTCAGAAAGCTGAGAAAGTCAGCAATGAAGGAGTGGGTTGGCCGTCCCTGAGTGTGATGTATGAGGTTCTTTCAGCATTGCAGAAGGCCTCTCAGCTTTTGAAATATTTGTGTCTGCCCCTCTTTACAGCAATGATAGTGTTACACTCGTGTGTTCATGGGATCCTGAACTACAAGTTATGGACAGACAAGCACAAAGGATGAAATTGCCATGGCTTAACAAGCTACCACTGAGACCCAGTGCTCAACTGTTCAGAAACCCAGCTAAGTGCAGCTGTGAAGTCAAGTGCAGGCACTTAAACTTCATAGCCTAGAAACATGAGCAGTAGCTCAATCTTTGTCTGAATCCAGCTGTTTTTTCTGTGATGGATGGACCTCTTGTTCTCTTTGTTAAGGGCAGTGTAAGCATTGTTTACTACATTATGAAATTGTCATGGTTGTGCCAAATGCCCCTCTAGCAGGGAAGATGGTGCTGCTCAGGACAATGCATCATAACTACCCCTGGAGTCAGCTCTTCACTCCCTTGTTTCCCTCGTGGCACCCCACACTTGAACAGGCTGAGGCTGTGCTCAGCTGACTTTGTCTTCTCTGCCTGGGTCTTCCCTTTCCCTTGGCCCTCTCCCCAGTGAAGTACTCTGATTATTAAGGACTATCAAAGCACCATTGCAGTACTGACATATTACTGTAATACATCACTTGAGTGCTGGTCTGCTCTTGTATATCATGGTGCTACATGGGAGAAATGGCAGGTGACAGGAACCCCAGACCCAGATCACTTTTCTCAGCTTTATGGCCTGCTTTTATTTCACCAAAGACAGCAAATAAAGGCAAGGAAAGCACTGTTGGACTTCTGCCATGAAGCTTTCAAAACCTTTAAATATATTTATCTGTACATTTTTCCCTTGACCCCAAAACATTAATTAAAAAAATTTGCTGATGTTTCTATATGAGACCATTGAGATTAGTTTATTTTGGGTCATGGAGGAAAGACCAATTCCTATCTAGGAACTGCTTTTCTGTGAGAGAGCAGAAAAGCAAGATTTGTCCTTGCAAAACAAAAAAATAGTTTGTTCCTAAATTTAAAAAAAAATATTATTAGTAGATCGCTTGACTGTATATTAGATGTAGCTGTGCAGGTAGAGATAGGACAGAAGGCAATTGTGCTGTTGGGATTTTACCCTTGATAAATATAAAAAAAAATTGTTTTACAATTGCTTTATGCTGGTTCTACCTGCTCAGGCCCCCTGATATCAGTGAATTAAGTCTTGATTTACACCAGTCTGAGCTCTCACATTAACAGGAGTTACATGCATACTTCAAGGATGGAATAAATCCTTTTTAATGCCTTATTGTGAATATCAAGCAGTTTTCAGACCAAAATTTAGGGGAGATTGTAATACTATTAATAATAAAGGGACATAGCTGGAAGGAAGGGGTAACATGTTTATTAAATTAACCAGAAATGTTATGAGGATGTATGTGTTCAAAATCTTGTGTTGGCTACATGAACCTAGAAGGCAAAAAGGAGAGAAAACCTGGAAGCCAGATGTGAAGCAGAGTGAGGAAGAAGAGAGGAGGACCAGGCTGGCTGGGATCCTGTGGCTGACCAGAAGGCACAGTGAGAGGCACGTGGTTGGTTAATAATTTAATGACTTTAGCACAGGAAGTTTCTAAAGTCTCAGGCTGGATCAACTAAATCAATAGCAGATGTAGCACATCCAGCTTATATGAAGCTGGAGTCATCTCTGCTTCCACATCCTGATGCTCAGCATCGAGATTCAAATTTTAAGCAAGGGATTCCCTACTGAAGTCCCAGTGTTGAGCATTGAGGGTCCTGATAGAGCAGTGTTGGGTGAGTGAGGGCTCAGGAAGGATTTGCTGGTTGATTTCAAAGCTCAACACACGGTTGCATGTGATTTTATTCATTGGGCTGGGCAGTTGCTGTGAAAAAAAACAGCTCCTGATGCAGGTTGTAAGGAAAATGGACCTGAAGAGGTCAGTGGGGAAAAAGAAGGAGGATGGATGACGAAACACTGCAATATTTCTCAGTTCCTGGGACACAATCCTCCAGGAATATTAATTTATCTGTATGCTGGGTGAAGCAAAGAGTTAAAATCCTTGTCTGGGAGGGGAGACAAGGATAAACCTTACAGGGAGCTGTTTGAATGGGCCATCAAGAACTGACTAAGGCAATTCACACAGAGCCTGGGCTAGGACAAGGGGTGCAGCTACCTATCCTTGTCTTTTTGAAATGAGCATTCCCTGAAGAGACCCTCAGAGAAACCAGGGATGCTAGAGAAATTTTAATGAGTACAAGGAGTGGTGAAAATAAATGTGAGATAACCTGACAACCAAGATAAATCAAAGTCAGCCTGGGGAGCATCTGCTGCTGCTGCACCTGGAAATATTTGGGGGCACTTACAGAGCCCCAACAAGTACACACCCTCATTTCAGAGTGGTTCTGGGTCTCATGAGAGTCCACAGGGATGGAGAAAGACTGAGACCCAAAACATGCCACACAGAAAGGTTTCTCTTCTCTCAGGAGCCCTCCACAGCATGCACGTGCTGAAGGGTGTGAGGCTTATTGCAGGCAAGTTTGAAAATCTAAATCCGTTTGTGGCTTTGGACCTTACTGCCTAATAATATCAGCTACACTTGGAATACTCTAAGATACTGTCAGGAAAACCTGTGAGACTATGGTTTTAATTTTTTTTTAATCTTTATGTGTTCCTGTCAGTTCCAGTCTACAGGCTATTAGAGATCTGAACTGAGCTATGA